ACTTAAGGGCTCAGGGGCCGCAGGGTGGGTGAGCTTGCTTCGCAAAGTCTTCAACCAAAGCACCCTGGTGAGCAAGGTGAAGTCCTGCTCCAAGGCCACCACCTGTTCCAGCCGAGCCTCCCAGCAGTTTGTATCAAGGCTTCGGGCTCCGGCGATACCGGCCGACGGCTTTTTGGGACACCGAGTACCGAAGCAAGAACTGGCCGGAGCAGCTACACTGCGATGACTGATTCCCATCAATGACATGAAGACTTAAGACTGGTGCATCCCAGCTTTAAAACACAGCTTACGACCTCTTTTTTCATGCCACGGTGTAATAGAGTTTTCCGCGTCGAAAATCATGTGGCTAAAGTTTGAAAATCATGTTGCTAAAGTTGCTAGCGCGGGGTAGTTTGTCGGCAAAGATCGTTGTGTGATAAGCTGGGAGTGCTCACTTCCTTCTGTGCAAAGAGAGATGAGATGATGAAGGACATCCAGAGCACCCAGCTTGCCTGGCCGTGGCCCCGTAAGTATGTCTTGAGGTAGGCCATCATATCGTCAAACTTGTTCATCTCCTTAGAACACTATGTGTCGCGCTTTCGATTGTTGAAGCTGCACGTTGTAGATGTGACTCGTATCTGGGCACCAAGCACATCCAAGTACTTTCTCACAGCAAGATGTTGCACGCAACTTGCAGATAGTTCCTAGTGACCTTCATCCGAAGGAAGGGGCCTAAATCATTACTTATACTATTTTGGGCGCTCCTGGTTTAAATTTTCGTAAAATGGGCCCCCAAACCTTAATGTAACTGTGAAGGCCCCGACATTAACCGACTTCGCAAACACAGCCAGGCCGCGCTTAGGTCCCCATCGAAGTGCTTCGGTGTTGCGCAGCAGCAAGGAGTGATTGCGTGGCCAGTTGAGTCTGTTGCTGGCGGTGTAGCGCAAATCCCCGTGTGCTGGTTCACCGAGAATGCACAAATCCAATAGGCGGCGTCAAGCTTCCCTGCCTTCTGCAAAGCACGGACAATCTTTCCGAGCTGGCGTTCTGCAAGCAGCTGAGCGATCTGATCATACTTCTCACTGTTCAAGGCATCCGCGAGGATGGCCGCGAGGAGGAAGGAAAACTTGTTGCGCCAGCTATGCGTTACCATCTTCAGCGGCATGCACGGTTCACTGTTCACAGTGGCTGCATAGGCATGCCCATATGCCCCCTTCTCGCCTCCACGCCCCTGGCTGACATTCGAACAGTCCACCATGTCTCCGCTGGTAAGGATCTGAACATTCACCTCTTCGTCCATGCCAGCGGCGCCGCAGCTCAAACATTCTCGGCACAGGGCAAGTTTCTGCGAGTCATGTCTACTTGGCTACACCATGCAAGAACTAGACACGTTATTGAACTGGCAACACCGACATCTCCGACATGCCCCAGCTCTGTGGCTGGGAGCTACTGCACCAAGGCCCAGAGCTTAGCAGGCAACGGGTCAGACTCTGCCAACAAAAACCATCACAATCAACACAGCAGCAACAACAACAACGACAAAAGCAGCAGCAGCAACTGCAACACGACAAGAAGAATTACAAGACAACAACAACAGCAGCAGCACAAGCTACTTCTTGCGAAGCAACAGTCTCGAGCGGAAGCCCTCTTTTGCTAGCCGTCCACTGGCAATAAAGCTTCCATGGTTTGGGCCTTCTTTCAGTAGGGTTTCGGTCTGGGTTTACTCCTCTTGGGGCTTCGGCCAGAGTTTACTCCTTTTAGGGTTTCGGGTTTCTTTCAAGCTTGCCTTTTGCTTCTTTTAGTGTTTCGGAGCCGGGGTCCGTTTACTCCTTTTTCGCTTGGGGCCTTCTTTCCTTTTAAGGCTTCGGCCTGGGTTTTAGCGTTTCGGTTTTCTTTCAAGCTTACCTTTGCTTCTGTTAGGGTTAGGGTTTCGGTTTGGGTTTACTTCTTTCAAGGCTTCGGCCTGGGTTTACTCCTTGTAGGGTTTCGGCGTTCTTTCAAGCTTACCTCCTCTTACTTTTTTGGGGTTCGGAATCTCTTTCCTCCATTTAGGTTTCAAGGGTTGGGCTTTCTGTCAAGCTTACATTTTTTTGTCCTTTTAGGGGTTGGGCCTTCTTTCATTAGGGTTTCGATCTGGGTTCATTCTTTTTAGGGCTTCGGCCTGGATTTACTCTTTTTAGGTTTTCGGGTTTCTTTCAAGCTTACCTTTTACTTCGTTTAGGTTTTCGGGGTCCGTTTACACCTTTTCGGGGTTGGGCCTTCGTTCATTAGGGTTTCGGTCTGGGTTGACTCTTTTCAGAGCTTCGGCCTGTGGTTTCTTCCCCTTCTTACCCTTTACTTATGTTAAGG